AAGCGCAGCCTCTCACAGCAGCACGAGCTGGCGCGCTGATGCCGACGGCTTCCTAGAGCACTAGAACACTCACACATGATGTAGCAGGGAAGCCCACTAAGGGCCCGCCCTCTGCAAGATAATTCCGGGCTGGGTTGGGTTCCCTCGCACATTTGAGAATATTTGAGTACAGAGGAAGAGGGCTGGGAGGAACCTCACAGTGTGTTAACCATGGTGATGGCTGGGAAGTAGGGCTGGGAGAAACATTTATTTGGTTCTTTACACTCTTTTGAGTTTGTGAGAGTTGCTCTAATTGACTTGGCCTACTTTGGAGAACTGTTTCTCAGAAATGCACGTTTTGAGGGTTAGCAACCTCCACCGGAGAGGTCAGCTGGCTGGGCCCCACAGCATGGGGTCAGGGCTGCAGGAGGTGGGGTGGCCTGGCAGCACGTGGGAGGCCCTGGGAGGAGGCCCCCAGAAGTGGGCAGCTGTTGTCTACGGCACAGCAGCAGAGGGCAGAGGGGGAGAGCCCAGGAAGAGCAGAGATAACAAGGGAGAGACACAGGGAGAAACCAGGAAACTCAAAGAGGGCGGGCCTGTTGTGGGGGGACAGAGCCACCCCGTGGAGGACAGCTCAGAAAGCCCCACAGAGGCCAGGCGCGGTGGCTCACGCCTAGAATCCCAACACTTCGGCAGGCCGAGGCGGGAGGATTGCTTGAGCCCAGAAGTTCGAGACCAGCCCAGACAACACGGTGAGGCTGTCTCTACAATAAATTTAAAAATTTAGCTGGGCATGGTGGCCCCCGCCTGTAGTTCCAGCTGCTTGGAAGGCTGCGGGAAGGATGGCCTGAGCCCAGCAGGTCGAGGCTGCGGTGGCCGGGAGCGTGAGACAGAGGAAGACTCCAGCTCAAAAGAAAGAAGGAAGGAGGAAAGAAAACCCCACCGAGCCTGGGAAGACAGGCCCGAGCCAGGGAGCGGGGGTCAGGGCTGAAACACCAGGCTAGCGACAGGGGCAGCGCAGAGACCAAGCGGCAGGGAACCCGCGTGGCTCCACCCTTCCCCTCCGTCCGGTCTCCCCTTGTCCCGCGCGGGGATCCGGGGATCGAGCCGGCCAGGAGGTCGCTGCAGCCGCCGCCGGCTGCGGCCGGCCACGCCTTCCTCCTGGGAGGGGTGTCGGCCCGGAGCAGAGGCTGCCCCAGGCGACAGAGAGGCAGAGGCGCCAGACAATTGCGCCGGCTCATCCCCCCACATCCGCTTCTTCAGACAACGGTGACTCCAGCGTCAGATCCTCCCCCGCCAGGCTCTAAGCCTCGTCCCTGCGCTTGCCACCAGGGTGCGGGGTTTCTCCCCCAGGGCCTCAACTCTTTGCCCCCCTGTCAAATCCCTGCAGAGAAGGTATCTGGCATCTGCTTCATCCCAGGTGGACGGTTCTGCGGTGTCTGGGATACTGTCGCTGCCCGGCAGTCCTCCTTAATATCTAGCTTGAAGCATTTCTGCTGCTGCCGCTTCACTGGCTCAGTGCCCGTCTTTGGAGACAGAACGCACAGGAACTCTGAGTCAGTGCCCCAAACAGCTTCCTCCTCTAGGGAGTCTTCCCTGCCTCCCTCCAGGCCCCGTCTCTCCTGAGGCGCAGGCGAGGCCAGGAGCCGGGTTGGGGAGCGGCTGGTGCCTCGCGGATTCCCCACCCATGTTGAACCGGGGAACCTGCCTGGCCCCTTGGCTTCTCAGCAAATAATACTCTCTGTCCCCTCCTGCTTCAGTCGGCTTGACGCACACCTCGCTTCCGAACGGGAAGATGCCACAGGGCAGGACCACGCTGTCACTCACTCCTTCGTTCCTCCGTCTATTCACCATCTCTTCTTTCCTCCCTTCTCCCCTCCCTTCCCATGTGCAGGGAGAACCCACCATGTGCCCAGTGTCAGGGTGAAGCTGGCCTGTCAGGATCACACATTGGGCCCAGGGCCCAGGGCAGAGCCGGGCAAATACTTCTCAGTGCTTGCTATGTGCCAAGGTAGACGTTGTCCTCAGAGGGCAGGGGCGACAGCCACATGATGTCCTTAAGTGTGCTGGGATGGCCAGGCACGGTGGCTCACGCCCGTCATCCCAGCACTCAGGGAGGCAGAGGCGATGGGGCTGCCTGAGCCTAGGGGTTCTAGACCCGCGCAGGCAACTTGGCGAGACCTCATCTCTACAATAAATCAAAAAAATTGGCTGGACGTGGCGGCACATGCCTGTGGTCCCAGCTCCTCGGACGGCTGAGGCAGGATCGCTTGAGCCCTGCAGATCGAGGCTGCGGTGGCTGTGAGCGTGCAGACTCTGACTCAATAAACACATAAATGAGGGTGCAGTGAGTACAGTGGTGGAGGGGTAGGTGGCCGGTGTCTGGTCAGGCGGGTGGACAAGGATGTGCGTTCGTCGGCCCCTCCCCCCAGGCGTGGAAGGAAGAAAAGGCTGATCTGACGGCCCAGCTGGGGGCTCCGGGCTGCTGCAGATGCCCAGCCGTGGCAGGCTCAGCCCGGCCTCTTTCCCCGCCAGCAGGCCGAGGCCCCACGTGACTTCCCAACCTCCGACAGGGGCTGGAGGACGCAGGCCCGGGAGCAGCAGGCTGAGCCTCCCCGTGTCTCCCCAGGACCCCAGCCTGGTCACGGTCCAAGCGCCTCCAGGAGTCAACACCACAGAGCTGCCACCCTTCACCACCCAGAGCCAGGTCCTAGACTGGGCGGCCGCCAAGGGCCCCATCGCCTCTGCTGCGGAACTGGATGACCCTCAGAGCGTCCTCCTCCGTGTAGGCCAAGGTCAGTTCCCCCGGACCCCCCGGGCTCAGGACTCTGCCAGGGAGGAATCTGAGGCCCTCAGACGCAGGCACCGAGAGTGCCAGAGCGGACGCGATTTGCCCCGGGACGCGCTCAGCAAGCCGGTGCTCCCTTGAGACAGTGCTTACTCCTTCACCAAATATCAGACTGGCTGGGTATGGTGGCTCACGCCTGTGCTTTGGGAGGCTGAGGTGGGAGGGTTGCTTGAGTCCAGGAGTTGAGACCAGCCTGGGCAACATGGCAAGACCCCGTCTCCACCAAAAAATAAAAAAAATCGACTGGGTGTGGCGGGGTGCACCTGTAGTCCCATCCACTCAGGGAGAAGGATCGCCTGAGCCCAGGAGGCTGAGGCTGCAGTGAGCTGTGATGGTGCCACGGCACTCCAGCCTGTACCCCACAGTGAGACCCCAAGAAAGAGACAGAGAGAGAGAGAGAGAAATCAGACTGAACCATGTGGAATACCAGTTTTTCTGACCAGTGTTTTCATATGATTTATTGTGCACCTACTGTGTGCCAAGTCCTAACCTAGGCACTTGGGGCGGGACTGTGTGGGAACAGACCCCAGCCCTGCCCACCTGGGGCTCGCAATAAGCAGGTCTTGGCCGGGCTCGGTGGCTCAGCCTGTCATCCCAGCACTCTAGGAGGCCGAGGCGAGCGGATTGCCCAAGCCCGGGGGTTCGAGACCAGCCCAGGCAACTTGGTGAGACCTCATCTCTCCCACAAATTAAAAAACGAAAACAAATGAACTGGGCGTGGCCGCGCGCGCCTGTAGTTCCAGCTGCTCGGAAGGCTGAGGCGGAAGGATGGCCGGAGCCCAGCAGGTCGCGGCTGCGGGGCCGGGAGGTCGGGCGACGGAGGGAGACTCCAACTCAGAAAAGAGGTCTTGGGAAAGGCCAGAGTCAAGATTAAAACGGGGCTGCAGCCTATCACGTGCCGGGGCTCATTCCTGACATTCACCCGTGTTGACAGGCGAGGACGCGGAGGCCCGGGGACCCGCACAGGGTCGCGCAGGTAAGGGAGACGCGGAGGCCGCAGCCCG